CCCCCTTCCCCCAATCAAACCCCCAACTCCACAAAGTGCCTTGTGGTCCTTTCTACTTTCCATCTTGGGAACATCTGCCTGGTCTGTTTCTGCCAGCGAGTCATTTTAAATTAATTTTTGTACCCAGAGTCCCAGACACTTTCTCTAATTATGGTTGAAGGAGCTCCTTATCACCATGGATTCGCCCTCACAAAAGGAGGGTTAATTGACAGACAATTTGAGACAAACCTAAAAGGAGGATTAACTGACAGATAATCCCTGTATCTTCCTTAGATTCCGCTGAACCCTTTCCTGAATGGATGGTCGGATTTTCTTCCCAAGTTAGAACGTTTCATAATTTCTTAGTGATATTGGCTCCTTACTAGTACCTCGTGTTTTCCCTTTCAGCATAAGCCGAAGGTTGTGGCTGTTTATTCCAGCATTGCTTGTCTGGTTGTTTCAAACTCAGGAATTCCTGAAAGGGCAACCAAGTACTGCATGGTGTACCTGGCTGAGCATCATCTTTTCTCTCTGGGAATATGTGCAAAAAGAGTGGGATGAGGAATGTAGAATGCACCACATGTGGAGCATGCAAGCGAAGACACACCAGTTACAGGAAACAGAAAATAGGGAATGCAATACCAGTAGGTGTTCATGTGCTGAGTATATCATATACACTTGCACACACAAGCGAACCTGTTGCACGTTGCAACGTAAGGAGTTTTTTTTTTATCTGTCGGCCCTCATATGTATACCATGATGACATGCGATTTGTCTGTGACAAGCCCTCATCTTCTCCTGCTCAGGTGTGCTCTAGATATGTGTGGGATTTTTCCATATGTGCAACAGATGTGGCAATCTATTGGGTTGGTGGTGGTGATGTGTGTGAGCTTATCATCTTCAGGTAAGAGTGAACGATTCTGTGGTATTATCAGGTTGTGTTCAGTGGAAAGTGTGTTTTCCATTTCTGTGCAGCTGCCAAGGGCTTTTCGAGTCAACAATAGCACAAGGCTAGTCTGCTATCTAATACACAGTCTTCACAAGAATCAATAGTATTATCTAATGTTATCTGATGTGCAATCTTCAGAAGATCGATATGACTACCTAATGTTAGCTGACTGATCTCTGCAAGATCAAATTTGATCTCTTGGCCACAAATTATTGGAGGTTCCTATCGAATCCTGTGGCCTTTTTTTATATGGTTTGCGATCCGTTGTATTGTCAAACTGGATGCAGTGTTTACTTCTCGTTGCTCAAGCATGGTAATAGTGGTAGCAGTGGTAGTAGTAGTACTAATAGTAGTAGTAGTAGTAGAAGAAGAAGATAGCTGACTATTGCCACTGAATTCCTCCATTTAGTTGATTACGAAGTGAGTGGTGTACACCTTCCATGTGGGGCTCCGAAAGATGTTGAAGGCTAAGCTGTTGTTGTACATGAAGCGCAACCCCCTGAGACCCGAACACGTCTCTTATATCTGGCGGCCTCATCTTCTTCCCCTGTTGTGTCGTGGCACCGCCTGTATTCCTTCCTCTTCCCCAAATTGAAACAGTCATCACCAACGGGTTGTTTCCCAGGCCGCTGTGAGTATGGTGTCGGAGCTTCCTTGTTATCTGAATTTGTGGTGCCTGTTTTTTGGTGATGTGGTTCATGCAATCTCAGGGAACTGCGAGGGAAGCGGATGTCAGGGCCTTAGGAGAGCTTGCTAGAGTGCTTGACAAGAAGGTGAGGGGTGGGAGCTGGACTGGAGATGAAACAGAATGCTTTTCACTTGTTTTATTTGGACCACATTTGAGATACAAGCCTGTTTGTCAGATTGGAGTTTGGAACCTAGAAGTGGAAACCCTGGCATCTTTAGATCCATTTGGATTCTTCAATCTTGACCAATGTGGGCTGGCTTTTGTGAAGCTGTCTGGACTTTGGATGATCTGCTGGCTCAAAAATGGGCCCTGGAGAAACTGGTTGTAGCCCGATGGTGATTGTGGCCTCCGGGGGGGCGGGAGTTGGGGGGAAAGGGGCGATCATGCAATGTGCAAGGATTGGTGTGTGTCCACTTTCCAGTGCATACGTTTAACTCTCCAAACATTGAACCAGACGTGGGGGGTCATGCTTTTGTGGGGGGTCATGTTTTTGTTCCCCTTCTTATGTTTTATGGTGTAGGGTTTGTGTTGGAAGTGGGTGGGATGTTGGAGCTTGGAAATGGTTCCCAACCTGGGTTTCTGGTATGCGCCGACCAACGACGAACCTGCGCAAGCGTGGAATGTTTCCTCTCTGCCTGGCACCGCCAGCCTCTTTCGTCTTGTAGGCCGAGCTACGAAGCACGCTGTGTGTTAACCTCCGCTTTGGACCAAAGTAGCTGGGAAATTGGTGCATGAAAGAACACTGAAAGAACTGAATGAAATAACATCCAGGGTGAATTTGACATTGAAAAAGCGTTTTCTGAACCTTTCCCCTAGTTTTTTGTTTTGTTTTGTTGTTTCACTAGGTCTTTTTCTTTTGTGTTTTGTTTTTCTTTTGACCTGTTGACCTGGGCGGCATGGGTGACATGTGCGCGGACATGGCATACGTGAATACATGTATTCGCATACGCACCATGTTTCTGGACCTTCTTGGGGCGTGTGGGGTGCAGGGGGACTGTATGGGGATCTTGGGTAGTGGGGGGGGGAAGCAAGAAGACTGTGGCGAGAGGGGAAGAGTGTGTAGGCCAGTTTGAGATTGCATGGGTGTGGACTCTGTGGGGTGAGTTTTCTTAGGAAAGGAGGGCCATAAAGGGGTGAGTTTTCTTAGGAAAGAAGAAGATACGCCATGTTCGAAAGCGACAAGGTCATCTTTTTCACCTCTGCATTGAATGTACAGAAGAGGTGTGGCCATGTGAGGATGTGGAGTTGGCAAAGTTAGGAGGTGGGATAGCAGTGAGTCCCTGTGCAGTCAGCGGTCAAGTCCAGTCAGTCCCAGTCCGGTCCAGCAAGTACCACGAGGGACTGTGAGCACCATGGGCCGATGGCAAAGGGCAGACCAACGAGCTTCAGAAGTATAAATCAAGAGGCAGCGCCCAGCCATTCATTCATTCCTGCGTGAGCCATGCGGAAGCGCTGCCACAGCGACTTGTGCAAGGAGGTCTGCAGTGACGCCCGAGGGAGAAGTGGGCAAGAGAGAAGGAGCGTAGCATAGCGATAGGGTAGAGGCAGCCATAGCTGCCATAGCTGTAGTTTAGTGTGATGTGTGTGTGTGTGTATGTGTGAGTGCCCAGAGTGACGCGTGTGGGATATCCAGGGTGATCCGGTGTATGTGAACAGTGAGTTGTTTGGGCGCTGAGCCGCCATAGCCAATTGAGAGTGAACTCGTATCTGGATGTCATATCTCTGAGTTTTGAGTGGGCACATGTCGCCAGTTTGCTGCGCTACTGTTTACATGCATGAAAAGTGTGAATGAAAGTGAGTCTGATTGCAATGGCTATGGACCGTGATGCACGATAGTAGGAATCTGGCCATGAGATGCCCTGTTCTTGAGATGCGACTGCTTCCCTTGAAGAGCTACAGTACAAACTTCGAAACCTCATGAGATCTTGGGTAGCAATGACGGCAGCTCTGCCATGATAAATGAACCTAGTAGAGGTTTATCTAAACAACCAGTATCTGGCCATGAGATTTCGAAGTCCAAGGGAATGATGGATGCCTCACAACACCATGGCAAGGTGTAACATCCCAACCATCTTCGTCTGTTCCAGTGATGAAACGATGGGAGAAGGCAGGACTGTCTAAGAACTTTTGGAACGACAGAAAGACAACAGACACGCAATTTAGCTAGACAAAGAGGAACTGTCCATAGGAAAACTAAGCGAGCCAGTAGGAGGTGTAGCCTCGTTTACACTGTCTACTGAGGATGGAGAAATAATCCCCGCTGGTTGCCATCAGCAATGGCAATGGCTATGGACCTTGATGCCCGATAGTAGCAATCTGGCCATGAGATGCCCTGTTCTTGAGATGCGACTGCTTCCCTTGAAGAGCTACTGTACAAACTTCGAAACCTCATGAGATCTTGGGTAGCAATGACGGCAGCTCTGCCATGATAAACGAACCTAGTAGAGGTTTATTTAAACCACCAGTACAGGCGCCAGCCAAGTCGGGAATCACGATTGAGCCTCTCCTGAAATTTTGGAGGCTCGGGATAAAAGAAAAATTGTCCCGTGCCGTTGGGTAGCACTCGGCCGAACCCCCAATAAGGAGGACAAATTCTGCCATCCCCAAGGCGGGCCTTGTCCCCAGTCCTCTAACTTTTCGGACAGGCTTATTTTGATTCTCCAGATGTACTGGTGGTTGAAATGGCTGTAAAGGAAGGGCCTTAGCCGATATACGGTCGACTCACCGTTACATCAGTTGGTGGGGTGTCGATGGGACCGCATCTCAGAGATTGGGTAGAGCGGCTAAGCAGACCGGTGGTAATCTATGTTAGCTGACAACTTGTCGATTGTTGTGAAAGGCTATGTCAACGCAAGGATGTAGTATAGTCCTCCTCACGTGGGAGGGACAATATAAGGCATAAATCGTCTTTTTGGGTTAGCGATGACTTGCTGTCCGATGTGATACTGGAATTATTCCACTTAGATGTAGCCAAAGTAGACATCCGATGAGGGAGAAATCCTTCCTTTACAGCACTCCAAATGGGTAAGGCTTCTGGCAAAGTGGTATCAACGTCATTGCCCGAACGAATCCTATTGATGGTTTATCTGCAAGTTCTTTCTACAATTACTGGGCGTAGGGCAAAGAAGAGGGTATGTAGCTGGTGTTCAGTGCTCAAAAGGAGCAGGCCTCACAGAGTCCTAAAGAGATAGAAGAAGTCGTCGTTGAGTATTCAGATCTGCAGGGAGAAAGGTTCAAGAAGTTGGTGAAGTTGACAACGACGAGGAGGACAGGGAGAAAGAAAAGGACGGAGGGGTTGAGGAGGAGGGGAGGAGGAGAAGGACAGCGACGAGGAATTGCGTGTGTGTGTAGGAGGAGGAGGAGGACGGCGAGGATGTGTGTGTGTGTGTGTGTGTGTGTGTGTGTGTGTGTGTGTGTGTGTGTGTG